CCCAAGTTAATAGACACGTGTCGTCACTAAGGTAAACAGCATCAAGGTGCATCTAATGCAACGTGAGTTAAAAGATTAAGCGCGTGTGTTAAAAAACAACTCACACATCAGTAGGTTATTGGACCTGTGTGCTTGTATGTTGGGTGGGGAGTGGGGGGATTGCGTTCAGCAGCTTGCTCCATCACCAACCCATTCATCCTTAAAAACTAATTAGTTGAGAAAAGACGAAGCAGAGTTTATCGCTTTGAGACAGGTTCACATTAGAGCTGGATGAACTCAAGGAAGTGTTTTAATTAGAGACTTAACGTAATCGAGACTTTCGCTTTCAACCACGCCTACAGCTGATGGTACCAGAGGCGTAGCGAGGGGGGGGGGGCGGGGGTGCGGACCGCACCGGGTGACACCATTAAGGGGGTGACACCAAGGCAAAAAATAGCAACATATATAGAGAAAAACTTGAGGGGGGTGCAAATCGAGTTTGAGGGGGGGGGGTGCAAATCGAAAATTTGAAAGTTTGTCCCCGAGAAGGGTCGCTACGTCTCTGGGGGGGGGGGGGGCTGACACCATTAAGTGCCGCACCGGGTGACACCCGACCTCGCTACGCCACTGGATGGTACCCAACCTTTATAAAACTGTTATCTCCAAACATGTGTTATGCTTGGTAGCTCAGGAATTAGCTTTTAATACAATGTAATGTCAAAAATTATGGTATCACTGTTGTTGACCTTTTATGGATATTTTGGATGGGTATTTCTTGCATTATTTAACGTTGGTACTGTTATCTTGCGGCGATAGTCGCAGTTGACATTCCAAACTAATTGTTTGATTCTGTTGTTTCAAGCAGGTCTGTTAGTCAAAAAGTGGGGAAGGTTTAGTTCATAAAATATGCCAAAGAGAGGAAAGAGGAAATTCAGACTTTCGTCATGATGTATTGTGTACCTCTTATCATGAAAACAATGTTTATTTTTACTTTCTCGTATACGAAGTATAGAGAAAGTAATGTAATAGTGCAAAAAGATCGAAATAAAGATTTTTACAAATCTCGACGTCTTACACCTCCCTGATCGGAAAAGTTAGTTTTGCAATTTTGTCGGTATGTCTGTGTGTATGTGTGTGTGAATGTGTATGTGTGTCCGTGAACACGATAACTTGATTACCGTTACAGCTAGGTTGATGCAATTTAAAATATAATTATTAAATAAAAAATCAAATTTGTATTTCTGTTTCAAATTTTCAGCGATTTCCGGTAAACCGAGGTGGAACTTATTCTACTTTCGGTATTCCTAAAGCCTATAACTTGAATACTATTTCTGATAGATGAAATTTTACTTATAAGTAGAAGATCTAATTATCTGTTTTCTGTAAAATGTAAAGCAATTTTCGGTGACCGTAAGTAGCACATTACGCTATTTCCGATTTCTCAAAAAACGAATATGAATTTATTTTTAACTTGACTCCACTGTCTTTCTGTATAATGTACTAATGTTCCGCACGATTATCTGCCTAGGTCACAAACATAGGTGAACTCTACTCCACCTACCATATAGACCATTAGGTTCGAAATATCCTTTTCTTTACATTGAAACGTCATATGAGTGTGGATGTGCCTAATGATAATATCGTGTGCTTAACGAATGTAAATGAACATTCAAATCGTATAATTTATGGATGACCACCAAAGTTTTATATGTTCGATTAACACATGAGAGTAAATTTTTAAAATGTCAGCAATAAACACAACACTTAGCACTAGTTCTACCTCCTCATCATCCTCTACATTCACAACAACTTATGCGGTACTCTAGCAGTCATTATGGACTACCATTGTATTACAATGGTAGTCCAACATGCGTTGAAGGGTTTGACATTTTCCCTGAAAGGCTGCGCTGGTCACTGGGCTTGCGTGATTTTTTTCTTTACTTTCTCTAATAAGGAGTATAGAGGAGGTAATGTCAATTGTGCAGAACATCGAAATCATGATTTTTACACGGTACTGATTAGAAATGTTTTTATCTGTATACCTATCTCTGTCTGTCTCTTTCTCTGTGTGTGTGTGTGCAGTGGCGTAGCTAGGATTTTTAGGCCCCTATGAAAAAATTATCAGTGGGTCCCTTCGTCAGCCAGTTATGCTACAATTGAGTTAAACGAATAGATCAACTGCTACTTACGATGGATAGTTTTTAAATAATAGAACATATTCTGTACATGTTGTATTTATACGTCCCGATTATGTATTTATTATACTGTATTATTATGTAGGCCTACTATTGCTACTACCCCGTAGTTTTGCAAAAAATGTTACAAGAGTACAGTAAACATTTGGTTTTGTAAGTAACCAAATACAGTAGCGTCACAAGGCGGGAGCAGGAGTGCTGCTCGCATCTGATGACAAAATTGATGGCTGACATCTTGAAAAAACATTGTAGAATTTACTGTCGAAACTATGGTGTATCCAGCTAAAATAATAAAAGATTAGTGAGAGAGGAGTGGCACCCCACGAAAAATGCTAAATTTTGTGAGGACGACGGGGTGTTTAGTAAACTAACAGAGGAACATCCAAACTTGTGACGCCAGTAACCAAACACAATTTAAATAAAAAATTGCTCATGATTTATTAATTTATTTATTGGGTGTGGTATAGGGTTCGATTTAGGTCAGGTACTACTATCATTGTCTCTAAGGCTATTGAAACAATACAGAGTTTAGTTAAAAAACCAAAGCACATTTTATGAAGGTATTATGTTTTTAATAGAAAGCAAATGTATAGTTTACATAATGTGATAAAGTGTAAAAAGTAATGAATAAAACATGTACACAACACGGGATATTTAGATAAGTTTAGTACCGTAACAACATTATGATGTTTGGTGTTTAAGCCGAGACCTATAGTAGGGACTGGATTTGTCGAACGATGGGGGTTAATGAACAGTTTAATAGTGACATCTACCGTAACAATAGTACAGGTAGCCTCTTGCATGTATTAAAGTGGCAGGTGTGTTAGGAATTCAGGTACAGATTCAGGTAAACTCTGCCGGGAGCAGGTACATTGATAGTTCAACGTTAACAGTAGACACAGAGTCAAAGACATACGACACAGAAGCAGAAATATTGTTTGGCACTCGTGTGACTAATGAGGGCCTCATTATCATAATTACAGAGATTTAGACGGCACAGGTCAACTCTTGCAGGTATAACAGTGGTTGATGTGTTAGGAATCCAGGTAAAGTTTCAGGTAATCTCCGACTGGTGAAGCTACATGTATACGGTAGACACACAGCCAAAGACATGCGGCACAGGAGCAGATCTATTGTTTGGCACTCTTGTGACTGATGAGGGGATAATTATCATAATTACATAGATTAAGACGGCACCGTAAATCAAATAAAAATTCAGGTAAACTCCGATTGTCACTGCTACATTGATACAGTAAACACACAGTCCAAGACATGCGGCACATCATAGACACATTGTTCGGCACTCGGATGACTGATGAGGGGATAATTATCATAATTACAGGTAGTATGACATTACGTGTAGCTATGACACGTGGTAGATACCCCTATGACTTTACTACTGTAACGTGAGCTACTTCATAGTTGTGACTGGAATTTATAATATAAGTTTAATGTATTGATACTAACGAGAACAAACACATCGCGCACTTTTAATATTGCTAATTCCAGTGCTTGTTAAGTCAAGTCTTAGTCCTAAGCCGTACAATCTCTAGCTGAATAAGCCAACCAATACGCTAACTTCCTACCTTATCTAAAATTACAGTATACACTATAAAAAAATTACACTTAAAATCACTAGATCATTAATCCAGTCACTTAACGATCGTACTCAAAACTCAAACCCCGCATGGTCAAAGCACCTGCGGTCAAAAGTTTCACGCTCCCTACACATTCGATCACTTAAAAACTAAATATTTTATTCAAAACTGCACATCAAATGTTTCGAATTTATTTCAACCATGTACTAAAGCAAATAGCTTTCTTTATAATATGTTTTTATTTTGAAACTACGAGAACATCAAGTTAATTATTGTATATCATTTGTAATTTCCGTTCTTCGGCCAAGTGACCTACATTTTGACAGAAATCGATTTGTCACTAATTGTGACAATGACAAAAAGTGTGACATCTTTGATGGTGCGAGTTATATGTTATAAATTGTGGTAATTACTTTTTGGCAACTCGTATCATTATTTTGCAAAAAGATAGACCTACACCAACATCTTAATTACATGATTGTCTAGATCTAATACTTACTACAATTTCTATGTAGGTTGTAGATACTTAGTGTATACAATTTTTAAATATCTAATTCTTTGCAGCCACTTTTTGTTAAAAGTGTATGTCAGTTTTAATTATAACGTCTTCCCTTCAATAAGTAATGTAGATTTTCGAAAAGTGGAAATTAAAAAGCTAAAATAGTTCCAACTATAAACAAACAATAAAACGTTATATCTTTTTCTACGTGACATTTCATAATTATAAACATTAGCTAGCAAGCGATTAAGTCTTAATTTAATAACATTCATTGAATAAAACTGTAGATGTTATAATACTCTGTAGTATTTTAAAAACAATAAAGTAGCAATGTGGGATTGTAATGAAGGAGAAGGAACTTAACTCTATTATAAGGGCGATATTTATACTTAAAGATAACTGAAGCTTTGAAATTCTTTACTATAGAAAAGTATTGTTAATTCTTCGGTTACAGATTATGTTTTCTAAAGAAGATTAAAGCGTAAAACATCTGGTGAAATAATTAGTTTTATCTATATTAGTTTGTGAAATCAAAATAAAAAAATATTCAAGTCTTTATAACTTACAAACACATAAGACGATGGCAAATTGATTCACTGCAACAGAACTATCATACATATTGTCAATAACAGCCACTGTGTTTGCGATTTTTGTGTTAACTAAATCTAAATTTAAAAAAAAAAGATTTTTTTGTAAAATATAAGTGAAATAAAAACGAAACAATTGAGCATGAATTCTAATGAGAATAATAATTCCGAGAACTACAGTGAATATTTCTCCAACACTAAAGAGTTCCTCGTCTCTGACGAAAACCTCAGATGCTTCCGAATAGCCGTCACGATATTTTTACGGGGAATTCTTTACTTTTGTGGGATTATAACCAACTTTTTCAACGTCGTCATCTTTCGTCGACTGGGTCTCAACAACAGCATGAAGGTCGCCATCTTTGTGACGTCGCTTGGTGACGTGGCTATAAGCGTTCTCCTGTTCGCCGCCTCGATATGCCATTTATTGAGCGAACTCGAGCCGGAGAATGAGTTTGATTTGAATGGATTTAGTTTCTACGTTCTCGAAGACACGTCGTATGTTCTATATTTAGCCTCCTGCTGGGTCACGGCTTACATGTCCGTCGAGAAGTGCTGCTGCGTTCTGTTTCCTTTCAAGGTCAAGGTCATTTTCACAACCAGGCGCTCCGTGGTTGCCATGGTGATTGTGTACGGCGTTGCTATAACAACAAACTTGCACGTGTTGTACGGCATAAGAAAAATTGTACCGGAAGTCGAAGCGAATTCTGCGTCTACGGGCAGAAGCCAGTGGACGCTTGTGTATTCTGACGTCACAGAGAGCATCGTCTGGTTGGTAATCAAATACATTTTCAGCGGCCTGGTTTTGTTTGTGATCAGCCAGGTTGTGATGATATTGTCGTCTATTTTGATGGTGTACGGGCTGAGGCAAAGTTCAAAGGTGCGTGGAAATCAATTTGAACACAGCTTGATATCACTAACACAGGAAAAAATTAATCCTGACAACGCTATTTCGGTCTTGTCACACTCAGAACGAAAACTTGTCAAAATTGTCTTGATGCTATCGATAATGATGATAGTTTGCAACATGCCGAGACTGATAGCTTTCATGATTTATTACATCGTAGGTGAAGCAGAGTACATCACGTACCAAAACTTGAACACACTCACGTAGGAGATTGCTGTGTTTTTCTGTACTTTCATCACTACCGGTAACTTTTTTTATTTATCTGAAGCTCAATTCGATGTACAGACAGTATTTTTACAAAATGTTTGAGAAACCGTATTTTAAAATTACTTTAAAACTTTAAAATATTATTTGCACAATTTTCTTTTAAAGTGAAACTGAGTTTTTCGTTTAATTTAATATAATTTTAAATATAAAGAATATTTTCTTTAATTTTTAGTTAGAAAATAATAAATTACACATTAGTAATTAGCATGCAAACGACTACGTTTACGTTTGCAATAGGTAAGAAAGGGGTTTAGAAAGTATCAAATAAAACAAATAGTAGAATAACCATTAAATCTTGTGGTATGTATACAATATCTATTACAAAACTTGATATCTTATATTTTTTGTTGTTATCAGTTTTGGTATACAAGCTACTTACTATGGGTCTTTACATGTTCGTAACTGTTAATTCTTCAGAAACAAAGTAATTTATGAGATTTCACAAGATAGTACTTATGGTATTTTACATAATAATAATTATGGGATTTTAAAAAAAATTTAGTAATAACGAGCCGACCCGCGGCGTATTATACGCCGCTATTTAGTTGTTTATTTTCTACTTTTAAGTAATTCATAATTTGTGAATTCGACAGTACCAATGCTGCCACTGAAAATATTTGCTTTAAAACACTATCAGTAGCTCGTTAAGGACGATACTACCCCCACCCTCCTTTCCCCCAACCCCTACCCTACAAAGCTATACAGGTTCAAACCACAAACTAAATTTAAAAATCCAATTCATTTTATTTCTACCATATGGTGTTCGGAGGAAGCGCTTTATCATATTTTTTTCTAAGTTTATCGAGCTCTTATCAGCTGGTTAATTTGTGTATGCTGAAAACCATCTAAAGACTAACAATTTAGATTGTTGTGTCATTTAGTTTTTTAGAAAAGCCCTATTTATATATTAATAGCTCGTCTTACTTAATTTTAAATTAACTATTTCCTAATTTTGTAACTTAACCTATTTAAATGTAAAGTGTATCCATTATGAGACAACATAGCACACACAAACAAGCTCAACTAATTTCGGGCCTAATATAATAATTTTAATAATTTCTTCATCGAATATATATACACGCTGAAAATCGGGAATCAATATGCATTAATTATTTATTTGTATTAGTTGCTTCCCATTACAATTTAATTTTAACCAGGGGAAACAACCAATATCTTAAGTTTTCGTAAAAGAAAGAAAATGATCATACGATGTAAACAAAAATGATTTTTTATTTATTTACTACATTCTAAACCGGTTTTAGTATGGTAGTATGGAGTATTTTGTCGATTCTAGAAAATTCATGGATTTTAGAATAATTATTTGCATCTAATAAGTGTTGAAAACCATTAGCTCAAAAACTTGGTGAATTGCATAAGAATTTAACCTCCCCCATTCCACTTATCCATTTTGGTTAAAACAAATATAAAATTTTGGATCCCTTAAAATTAAGGGACAGCTAACCTTACATCATCTTTGTTAAGAGCAGGGGTCGACAACCTGCGGTTTGCAAGCCGCATGCGGCTCTTTTACTGTCAAGATGCGGCTCTCCGGCTCCTTACACAAATATCAATACTTATATTATTTTGTTTTCAAAACTCATATCAAATATAATAATATAAAGAAAAACAACTTTAAACAGAATTAAAACACTTATCAGAGAACAATGAGAATATGTGCAGTAGAAAGTATACGGACAACTGACAGCAGCTTAGGCACCAGGCCCAGCCCGACAGCCCCGTGGCAACAATCCCATACTTGCCACTACCCAAGTGCCGACGTTTCGAATGTTTTTAAATGGAATATGTTATTTTATTTAGAATGCATTTCCCTTTCATAACTGACGGTCTACGGGGCAAGTGAAGTAGAGTTCACTTGTTTCTGTGACCTCGGCCTATGAAGGGATAATGTGGTCAGCACTATGCCCACCCGCCTTTACTTTCCTTAACGTGAGTTAGGTACCCATCAGAGTTGGGTGGACTCAGGTACGGTCTACTGACTTCAACCCGATTCGAAATCGAGACTTACGGGTTAGCAGTCCAGCTCTCTACCGCTAGTCCCTATGTGTAAGTAATCATTAATTGGACATGAGTGACGTAGTTATCTTTTAAGCGATTAACTTCCTACTGTTGAGCCGGGTACTGACTATGGAGTACGAGTTTACCCTGGGGTGGAAAATAAGCCCGATAAAAACCAAAGTACAGAAGCGACAGATACACTGTTATGAAAACGCGGTTCAAGCCAGTTAGTGGAAGTTATCCGTGTTGAGGCCTGCCTGGCTAATGGCAGACATCTCCCTAGTTTACACGGCTTACACTTAAAAACATCTCGGTAAAATGTTAGCAATGAAACATATAGTGTTAGTTACCTCACAAGTTAAAGACAGTTACAAATACAATGGAAGTTTCGACCCAAGGTCTTCGTCAGCACACAACAGTATGGTTACAGATTAGACAGAAAAGACAAACAGTAAAACAATTTTGGCCTTAGCTCGACAGTGAAAACACGTCTTGTCTAAATGCCGACTTGCGATACAGAATGTCAAACAAAAATATCTATCTTAATTGACTGTATGTCTTATATTTTGTTACATGCGATATTTAAAAGAAGTTGTTTTAGTTATAACAAAAAAAAAACAAAGACCGTAGTCACACATTTCGTAAAGTGCTACATATGTTTTTTTTTTTACCTGTTTTAATCTATACTTTATTTGAACTGAAGAGTACTTTACTGTAAAATGTTTTTCCCGTGATAAGTAAATTGCTGTTTCGTGTTCAATAGCAAGCGATTAGACCTGTAAGATTGAAATAAGAGATCAATATGTGTCCACTTTACTCTCGATTGCGATGTCCTTTCTGGAGACGATTTAAGAAAATAAATAATATACACACTTGAAATTTTGTTCGGCAAAACACAGCACTGTTTATCAGAAATTAAACGCAGTTTGAAGTAGCATTTATCAGGGCAGAGAAGAAAGAGTTAAATCGATTGACATTAATACTAGTTTTCAACATGCGAAATAACGTAACATTTCAGATCAAACCACTTGAAAGTTCTTCAAGTAAAATGTCTGAAAAGGTTTTATCTGAAAAGTCGCCTATCTTGTTACATTGGAAACATTGAGCGAATTCCTCTCACCAACCATTCTCGTCATTGATTACGTAAAGCAAAAATTGACTTCTGATTCCTAATGTAATTCACTTAGATACAGAAGCTACACATCAATAATTTTCAGCGATATGAATATGTTCGTACTTAGGCCTAACTTGACTTCTGATTCCTCATCTAACTCACTTAGATAACAAACGTTTGTCGGCATTATGGGTATGTTCGTACTTAGGCCTAACTTGACTTCTGATTCCTCATCTAACTCACTTAGATAACAAACGTTTGTCGGCATTATGGGTATGTTCGTACTTAGGCCTAACTTGACTTCTGATTCCTCATCTAACTCACTTAGATAACAAACGTTTGTCGGCATTATGGGTATGTTCGTACTTAGGCTTAACTTGACTTCTGATTCCTCATCTAACTCACTTAGATAACAAAAGTTTGTCAGACAGATGGATATGTTCGTACTTAGGCGTAATAAAGATGAAGTTAAATAAACTTAGAATAAATTAATGTTATACTTTAAAGGTTAAGCTATTATCGATATATGTCAGGTCACACAATCTGAAGAAGGTTGCTCCTGAACGTCTCTCTTTTAGATAGACGATGCTGAAGTTTAAAATGACAATGAAAATATCTAGAATTATTTACAATTATTTATGGAATCTTTTACTTTGCTTCACTGACTTGCAAATTAACGTGCTAGTTCAGAAAACAAATAAAAAGTATCTATTTGTCAAGAGCTGAAATTATATTCAAATTTATTTAATCCAAAGTTTGACAGATCAAGATATTATTGGTTCATCCTTATTGTTTTTTATATACTGACTTAAAATTAATGTTGTTCTTTTTTTTAATAATTTTAAAACAAAGGTTTTGACAAGTTTTTTTTCGTTATTTACATCAAACGTATTTTTTGTTCTAGATGATAAACCATAATATCACCAAGCCACAATGTGTGTCGTGGGATGAGATTGTTAAAGGTTTGCAGATTATATTCTCCAGATGTTCTGATATAAAAGTTTACACGATTTTTCATAGTCTGTTAATCTTTAATGGTTCACTTGTGTGTCTACATAACGCAAAAATCATCGTTAAATACACGTTTATTTTGATTGATGGAGATGTTTTATTACTGGAGGCGATATATATATATATATATATATATATATATATATATATATATATATATATATATATATATATATTATATATATGAGAAAGTGGGTAATTCGTACCCCAGAAGGAAAATAAGATTTACAAACTGCAAGTTGGAAACAGTTAATTTTACGTTGAAGCAATCTTTTTTGTGAACTAGTCCAAAAAATGATGTTTTTTTTTGTTTAATTGTTTAAAAAAATATAAGAGCAGAGTAATTAAGACGAACAATTTTACCGAACGGCACTAATTACCCACACAGAAGTCCAAATTTTGCCAATGGTTAGCAAAAAATTACCAAGGGCTATGAAGATATAATTTGTACCACTAATGTTACCTTTGTTGTCGCAAAACATTTAGTTCTACATATATAGTTCTCGAATTAAATACGATCTCCGCTTGTTCAAATGATATCTAATTAGATATCTATTACTATTTTTAGCATAATGACAGAAAAACCAGAATATACCCAGCTTATGTCAGAAAAGCCACGAATATTTACTGACTTGAAGTGTGAGGCCCTTCCAACGCATATTTGTACAGCTTACCACTGATTTAATTATGGGTATTTTTTTTCTTTTATAAAACTGAAATATTTGACCAAACTTTTCCATCACTTAAGTTTTGCAATAGTTATTTGGCAAGTTTTTTCCTCCCAACAAACTGAAAAGTT